CGCCCCGGGATACAGTGCCAAGTCGGAAACAGAAATCCCTTAGGAGAAGTCACTGGCTAACAGTCTATGGCATATGAATTTTATGTCAATAAAATGGTTAAGATACCAAGGAAGAAGAGCCAAGACTGAATGGCTGCAGGCACAGTCCCGTTAGCTGAAGCAATGCCCATACAACCTACATGCCTGTCAGTGGAAGCATGGCGTGCCAACCACACATAGGGACCGCCTTGGGGACGTGACGCTGAGTGGAATTAGTCAGTCCCCAGGACAAACACTTGTGTGAGAACGCGATTAGAAAAAGTCTAGGAAAGGTTTTCACATGAGACACAACGGTTCTCAACCTGTGGGTTGATAGCCCTTTGGGGGTCAGCTGACCCTTTCACAGGGGTCGCCCAATTCCTAACAGTAGCAAAACGACAGTGAAGTAGCAACAAAAATGATTTTATGGTTGGGGGTCACCACGACATGAGGAAGGGTCGTGGCATTCGGAGAACCACTGCACTAGGAGAACCATTCTCCCATGATTGCCGGGGGAAGGAGACGGAGGGTGATTACCCGGGCTGAAGGAAAGGGAAGGCAATATTCACTGAGAGGGAGGGAGACAAAAACGGTGGCAAAGTCGCAGGAGGCACTGGAAGGACAGTAAGAGTAAGGGCAGCCGAGGTAAGCACTGCGGTCAGACGAGCCCGTGCCTGGGTGAGCACACAGGCTGAAGGGCTTGTGGAGACCAGAATCGCTATGGGCTGGTTCATGGGAATTCACCTTTGCTGCAATTCATGAATGTGGTGGAGGAGGCAGGAGGCAAAGCTGTTAAAACTTAGTTAGAAACTCAGTCCTTAAGGGAATGAGTCGCTGGGCCTGGGGGGAATCAGGACCATAGTCTTGGGGGCACCAAAGTTAATTGGTGTAAGCGAGTTTATGAAGACATGGTTCTACATCCAACTTTGGTGGGCAGCAGCTGTGGTCTTAAGAGCACAATAGTGGCATCTCAGGCCCAATGACTGTCTTCCCCTAGCTGGAGAAAAGAAATGCGAAGAAGACCAAGACAAAGAAAACCGTTCTTCCAAAGGACTAAGAGACCATGTGGACATCAGTTTCTTCTACTGAGACCACGAGAAGGATGTGGGGCCCCACTCCCACGACCAGCTGCTCTGACCAGTTCACCATGGAAGGTCTCCGGCGGCATGGGAGGAAAATGTGCAGCAGAACTTAAGTTCATAAAGAAGAATGACTAGCTCACTCGTCAAACAGAGACTTGTTCAAGAACCCGGCACCTCCAGGGGGGAAGGAAATCAGCTCTATGGCTCAAGGTGCAGCCCAACAGTAGGCAGGTGTGTCCGGGGAGCGAGCTGAAACTAGAGCGGTGAAGGTCCTCACAGCTAACAATCATCAAGCATTTGGGATGGGGGTGGGAGGCTTTCACCCAGGACAGAGTTCAGGAGTTAGGAGAGGAGGAGGAGGAATGGGAACATGAAACTCAAGGAGGAAGTGAAAGAAAGGCCATTACACTGTGGGGCTGGCAATCAACGAGATGAAACACAATGAATGTACATGAACTGGCGGATGGGAAACTGACCTGGTTAAAAACTTCCAGCCAATCCCCGGCCGGCCCCAGTCCTAGCCAAACTGACCCCCCACCCTCACCCCGTAAGTAGGTGCTACAGAGGACAACACCAAACCTACAGGTTGGGGAGAGGGGCCAGCCACACCCACACAGAAGCAGACCGAGAAGGAGAGAGAGGGAGGGACTAGACCCCAAACCGGCACATCAACCCTGAGGACGGCTCTGCCCGGAGCTGCTAGGGCACAGAGGACTGTAAGGCCAACAGCTCGACATGATGTCCCTTGCTGGAGCTACCGTGACAGAGGACAATATGGGGACACTGGCGCAGTGTGAGTGGTCTGACCCCCACCACACAGAGGTGAGAACCATGAAGGGAACGTAACAGATCAGCAATGGGAGCAAAGCCAAGTCACAGACCCTGAGGAGTCCCCAAGACAGACTTCAGGCTAGGAGGGGCAGTTCCTGGAACCCCGCAGGACCGGTGGGGAGATAGTCATAGAGGCCAGCAGACAGTCCTGGGATTAGCTATGCTTTTATGGTTTGGGGTTTTTGTTAGTTTCTCTCTCCTCTTTGCATTCACTCTTTTGTCTCTTTATTGTTGTTTTGCCCACCTATGTAAGACAGGCATGAGAAGCAAGCCTAAGGAGAAACAAGTCCCAGAGGGACGTGGAGGAGGAGGCGGCAGGGAGGGAGCGGTGAGCAAACCACCACAGACGGGGAACTAGGGAACTGAAGTCAACGAGGAGGATGTAGAGATCCTGGAGGTGTTGGAGCAGCAGCAATCTAGCTGAGAGGCAGGAATTACTAAGAGGAGAAGAAGGGTGAGGGTGATGGTGGGCCAGGAGAAAGGTAAAAGAAAACAGGAAAGATGTAGGAAGCAAAGCTATGGATAGAGGTATACACATAGGTGTACACTTACGCGAATATACTGATTCATAAAAACAGAGCTATTGGTCTATGCACATATATCTATATGGCAATACATTGAGGAAGAGGGCTGGCTTTGGGCCTCTGCTCAAGTCCTCCTCAACGCAAGAGCACTGTGTTCCAGCAACCTGGAATTCTGTGGAGCTCACCCTCCTGGCAAGGTCCCTAAAGACAATGTGTGCATAAGCAAATGTGGTGAAGAAAGCTGATGGTGTCTGGCTATCAAAAGATATAGTATCTAAGTCGTAAAGGCTTCAATAAGTGGCTATCTGAGAAGCAACAAGCCCACATGGAAGAAGCACACCAGCCAATGCGATCATGAGGTGTCAACGGGTTCTGTTAACAGGCACCAGAAGACCCAAAACATATGGTTAAGAACGAGGGGGGTCAGAGCAGAGACCCAAAACCCATCTGTAGACAATGGAATATCCCCCCACAGAAGGGTCACAAGGACGGGATGAGTCAACCAGGGCTCAGTACACCACTGATGAAACACACAATGTTCCTCTGGTTCCTTGAGGCTTCTTCACCCCCCACTATCATGACCCCAGTCCTGCCTTTCAGTTCCGGCTAGACCAGGCATGTACACTAGTACAGATTAGAGCTCAGGACACATGGAATCCAGATCAGATAAACCCCTCAGGAACAGAAATGGGAGTGGCCATACTAGAAGGGGAGAACAGGCAAGGAAGGGGGAACCAATCGAAATGATTTGACACATACACCCCCACCCCCCAGGGGGAGGAGCAACAGAAACGTGGGTGAAGGGAGACCACGGTCAGTATAAGATATGAAAATACTAGTAATTTATACCGCATACACTCGTTTATAAGCCAAGTTTTTCAGCACATTTTTAATGCAGTTCCCATGGTAAAATTCGGTGCCTAGGTTGATATTCGGGTTGGCTTATACTCGAGCATATACCATAATTTATCAAGGGGTCATGGGGTGGGAGGGCAGTAGGGAAAAAAGAAGAGCTGACATTAAAGGCTCCTAAAGAAAGTAAATGTTTAGAAAATGATGCTGGCAACATTAAGTACATATATGCTTGATACAATTGATGTATGGGTTGTTATAAGAGCCCCCAATAAAATTATCTTTAAAAAACAAAGAAAAGAAAACATTTCAAACAAACGAATTCTAGAGTGAAAGAAGGCACTGAGGAGGGCCCACTGTTTCTCAAATGGGCCCGAGCATGACATTTTACATTTTGTATTTTTCCTTTTAATAAGCTAAAAAGAAGAAGATGACGACAAGATGATTTGGATGAACTGAGCACTAACTTGAACTTGGGAGAGCCCCCACCCCGTTTTGGGCCCACACCTACACTTGTAATGACTCTGATGCCAAGGCACTGCCGATGAGAGTCAGCACTGAATTGCATGCCTCACACACAGAGGGGCTGGGTGAACCGTCTGGGGTCCATAAGGAGTTTTTCCCCCACTGCTCGTGTGCACCAATCACTACTCACGCCTCTTCTGCTGTAAAACCATCCTCCTTGCGGGATTGTCCAGGCCAACCTCAATGCCCCGTGCCGTGTTTATTCTTCTCAATAAACACGTTACAAAATACGTAACTAAACGCGAGTCATTTTCCCGATGGGCTAAGACTCCTCCTCCATGTAAATCCATTTTAAAAGTCCGTAAGCCCTTCTCCACTCGGGATTTTTGGTGAGCAGAGTGGCCATCACTTATGCATATGCATTTCACAGCTAAGGACATGAACAGATGCTGAACGTACAGGTAACTTTGGGGGCTAACTTCTCAACACTGAAAATTAAACTCTTTCAAGATAAAAAGGTGATCAGCATGTGGTGTACATCATGGTGTACATCTATCTCAGCTTTAAAATTAGTTATAGTGTTTAACTTCACTCAGCATGATTAACTTACTGTTACCTAAGGTGTTAAAAAGTAAAGAAAAACAGTTAACTAAAAAAAAAACTTAGTTTGTGTGGCAGTTATGTAATCTGTTGTTAATTAGAGAAGATTATGAGTGAAGGGGTGGAGTCTAGACTGTCAATCATTGTATAACCAATGAGGCCTCTGTGTGGGCATGGTCTTTCCCTGAGGATTCTGGGAATTCCTGTAATTTTTCCTTAGAGGTGGGAGACACACACTCTCTCTCTGCTGACTCCCTGAGAGACTCTCAGCTGACAAGGCGCAGAGCTATGCTAGACCTCCGGAGCTGGAGAAGCCACATGGAGACCCCTGCCAGTACAGAGATGCTTATGCCGCCACTGAATCCACAAGACTTCCCACCCACTGGCCTGTGATCTCCCTGCATTTGGTGTCATTGCATGTGTTTCGTGAGGGAGAAGTGGACTTTATAGATTGGTACTGGATATATGGGCCAATATTGGATTTATTGACTTGATCTGGACTGGGCTGGGATGTTTTCTTAATGTTTTTAACTGCTCTTGTATACAAACCTCTTTCTTATACACGAGTGTCTATGAATGGTTTTCTAGTCTTCCCAGACTAACACAGTTTGTATTTTTGTCACCAGCTTTTGCGCAGTGGTGAATGGGGACAGTGTGTCCATGGCTCTTCCTTCAGTTCCACCCCACTATCTGCACTGAGTCCTTGACTTATAAGGTTCCTCCTTGTCTCTTGGTCAAGTACTCAAAGGGTACGCTCAAAATCGAACACAGTCAGTTCCGAGGCTCCCTCTGCTCCACAGAACCAAGCTCGTCTGCTACCCGTGCTCCCTCTGCCTTCTTTTGAAGTAAGCCTTTCCCTTCCCATCTGAAGGTCAGATAGGACCAGACAGACCGGGCCATTGAGCCAGGACACCAAAACCAAACTCATGCCCATCGAGTCCATGCGGACTCAACCGAGCAAGCCTCCAGGACAGGGTAGAAACTGCCCCTGCAGGTTTCTGAGGCTGTAACTCTTCACGGAAGTCGAAAGCCTCACCTTTCTCCTATAGAGAGGCTGGTGGTTTTGAATCGCTGACCTTGAGTTTAGCAGACCAATGCTTAACTACTACACCACCACCAAAGGCTCCCTTTAAATCAGGATATTGCCCTCCAAGTGAGAAGCGAAGAGAATAAAGGGGAATATCTCAAGGCTCCCCATACTTACCAATCCTAAAGGTCTACCTTGGTCCTGGTCCAAGATTCCCGGGTTGCTAGAACTACCTGCCCACTCACCGTTTCTCATACAGGAGGTTGGCCACCATGCTCATGAGCGTGTAGGGCTTGATCTGCCGACCTTCCTTCAGCTCGTAGAGGTTCAGCCGGAACTTGAGGCGCTGGGCACTGCAGTGGGAGGGAAAAATGAAAGATGGGAGTCGTTGCTGCATACCCCCTAATGGCCACCCAAAGGCCAGCCTGTGGAAGCCAAGAGGTAAGGTGAGGGACATACCATCTCAGTACCTGCCAAGAGACTCTCCTTCCGAGTTCAAGACTCAAGGCCCCCACACTTATCACCTGCAGACGTGTTCCTCTGCTACTCTTCCTTCCCATGCTCTTTTGGGAAGTAGGGGGAGCAGGAAAGGATCCCCCCGCTTTGAGGCATAATTTATCTACATTAAAATGCACAGCTCTTCCCCACTACTTGTAGGAAAACTTACACTGGGCAGAGCAATGGGTAAGAGAGCCCAGACTTACGGAGCTCTTACTCATCTTCCCACTCACCTCCCTGTGCACGGGAAGATGGGACACAGTGAAGACCCCGGCAGGGAGAGACAGGACGGGGCCATGGCAAAGTCCTCTGTTACCAGCTTCATGAGATGCCTGGCGCCTCTGACCACATCACCCCTCTGGAAACTCTACCCTGGCCTTCCGCCTCAGCAGGGCCCGGCTTGGGAAGGGCGGCTTATTGTTCTCTTCTCCATGCTTTGCTGCCCCAGAGTCTGCTCCCACAGCTTCAAACCATCACTTCCTCTCCATTCTTGAGATGCCATTTCAAAAGCCTACCTGCTTGTATGTTTCAACTGGTTCTGCCCTGTCACCTTAACACTGGCATCGAAACGCAAAGCAGTCTTTCCCTCAGAACGAGTCCTCCCAATAGCTTCGTTTCAGTTGACATGTGCACAACCGGGATCACCTGTGAGACAGCCCAGGCTTGTGTCTATGCCGGGTCCTGATCTTCAGAGCAGGTAAAGACACAGGTTCCTTCTTTGCCTCTCCGCTACCCAAGGAGCTTCGACGGCTCGTTAAAGGGCCCCAGTGGCATAGGAGCTTATAAGTTGGGCTGCTAACCATAAAGTCAGCAGTTCCAACCCACTAGGCACTTCAAAAAACGAGGCTTTTTGCTCCCATAAAGATGTGGGTTTCAGCCTCGGAAACCCACAGGGGCAATTCTACCATGTCAGACATGGTGACTGAGTTAGAATTGATTCGACAGCAATGGTTTGCTGCCATGACTACCACACCTGGGCCATTACAATAGCCTATTTCATCACCCAGCCTCTTTCTCCAAGTTACATAATCATTGTCAACTAGCTGATTACCTGGTAATTAGTATCCACCAACTCCTTATGCACTAGTTACCTTCTTGTCCTGTCTCTCAACTAGATCTGGAGTTCTTTAAGGACTGGTTTTGGGGTCCAGGAGGCCTGGCTCTGCCATTCATCTAGACATTTTCTGAAATCCTGCCTCATCTGTAAAATGGGACGGCAACACGGTGATGCTGTTGATTGGCTTAATGAGCTCCTTCCTCTATGTAAGGTGCTTTCCACATCACCCAGCACAAAGAAAAGGTGGGTAAAAGCCGGGTGGGGTACATTTCTACATCGCCGGAAAACGCCAAAACCCATTGCCAGAGTCGATTCTGACACACATCTTTCTCCTGTGCATCAGTGGACCTTTCCGTTAGCAGCTGCACCACCAGGACTATCTCATGGTGCCGTCAAAGTCTCAGACGCCGGACAAGCTCAACAGATGACGGTCAGCACGGCCGCTCGGGACGCCCGGCATGCCTCCAAAAGGCATGGTGGGGGACTGACACTTACACGGTCTGGACGTCCGTGGCGAGCCCTGCCAGGCCGATGTACAGACGGTCTCCCATGGGGAAGATCTTCTGGAAGTCTGTGGTCACCATCTGGGCCTGAATCCCGAAGCGCCTGTCCGCCGCGATGGCCACACAGTTCTTCCCTTTCATGGCCATGACGGCCCCGCCATTGTAGGACATAATCGACTAGGGTAGATTGGGGGCGAAGGGGCCCAGGGTGAGGGGCCTGTGTCCACAGCCCTGGGTCCAGTGCCTGCTCTGGAGGCTCCTGGAGTGGGGTCCCGTCCTCCATTGTGGAGGCGACTGGACGCCTCGAACTCCACCTCTGAGATTGCCCAGGGTGCCCGCGAGAAGCGCCCCACACCCCTTGGGTCTTCACCGCGGTTCGTTCCCCTTCAAACTGGTGCCTCTGCTTTCCATTGACTACAGGCCCTCTACGCCCCCCAAACCTCCCTTGGCTCCCTTCTCCTTCCTCAATTCCTAGCCCATGTCCCTCTTCCTCGAGCCATCTCACCATGATTGCAGTGGAACAGAGCCCCCAGTCGCCGCCGCCGCCGCGATTCCAGCAAACCCGCGCAGGTTGTCGCCGCGCAACCGTCCTCGCTGCCTCCTCCTCATAGGGCGAGAGGCTGATTCTTCCGGACAGCTCGGCTTCCGGTTGGCTGCACGTGTCCGTCAATCACCAGTACTAGGTAGTTTGGCTGAGAGGCCAGTGGGAGGGCGGAAAGCGCGAAGTGTAGAGTCACGGGAGGCGGAAGTGGCCTGCTCGCGGAGCACGCCGGGATCGCGGCGGACCTACACGCCGGCGGCCCGGGACGGAGGGCGGGGCGGGGAGGACGGGGCCGTGGTGCCGCGCAATGGCTGCAGGAGCACTTGCCGGCACTCTGTAGGAGTCGGGCGCCCTTCTCATTCGGCCTCATTTATTTACCCTAGAAGTTCTTATTAGAGACTTATTGTGTGCAAGGCTAGAATCTAGATGCTCACTAGCTTAGCAGAGCGCCTAGGCTGTGGGAGGTAAATAGATGTTCATGGTAAGTGCATATTTAATGACATGAGGATGAGAGCGTTGAGGGTATTCCTTGGCTGACGTTTTGAGCTAACTGCAAGGTCATCCGTTCGAAGCCACCATTGGATCCACGGGCAAAAGAGGAGGCGTTCTACTCCCTGTAGTACAGAGTTACAGCCTCTGAACCCCACGGAGGCAGCTGGATTCTGTCCTAGAAAGTCGCAATCTCCTTGATTGCAGGGAGCCAGATACTTAGCTGCAAAGAAGAGATTTGAAGACCGGTGGTGGCTCTTTTGCAGACCCCCCCCCCAGTCGAAATATGCTCCACGTCGCCCAAAGTAGATTCTGAGGGTAACAGAGGCGGACCGTGCTCTGCACTGCCCCGCTGTGCCAGCCCTCTTCCGTTTCTCTCTTGGGTTCAACCTCTGTAACCACATTGCCCAGCTTCGGGTGTAGTTCCTGCGCCGTCATAGCCTCGCTCCCATTGACTTGACTCACAGCCGCAAGACGGCTACTGTGGTCTCTGTGGCGCAATCGGTTAGCGCGTTCGGCTGTTAACCGAAAGGTTGGTGGTTCAAGCCCACCCAGGGACGCTGAGTCTTTTATTCCCCCCTCCGCCCATTTTTGAGACTATAGGTTCTTCTCCCCTAGTAAGAATAAAAGTAGTTTGTTTTTTTAACTCCTAACTACTGAACAGTGAGATTTTTTTTTTGTAATGGCAGAAGCAACCATTTTATATAGCAAATTAGGGGGCCATCGTTGAAAGTTCACTGTTCAGTCTATAAATAGGATAATTTCTCCTGTCTCTTTCCTCCACCATTCACTCTCCACCCCCCCACCCCCCAGCTGGAATTGCAAGAAAGGCAAAGACAGGTTTTTGTCTGGCGGTTGCATGTTTTGTAAGAATAAGTACAAATTTGCACCGGAGGCGGTACAGCTTCCCATTGTCTGTTTCAATGGATGTAACGATCGGAATATTCCAGTTGGAAGGAAAGAGACTGAGGGGGAAGGCAGTCAAACCGAGGCAAGAAGAGAAACAATGGTAAGAAAGGGAGACCCTAACCAGATACAGGGAGGTTCAATGGAGTGGGGAGAGAAAGAAGCATGTCGAAGGGGAGAAAGAGAGAGGGGGAGAGAGAAGCATTTCACACGAAGAGCATCCTACATGGAAAACAACAAAAGAAAGATTTTCTCCCCAGAAATGTTCAGCACTAAAATGGGGAGGTGGGTGGGGAGATAGAAGCGGAAATCCTGGAGGAGCGAGAGAAGGGTTTACATAAAGAACAGAGAGGTACCTAAACCTAAACCCAAAACCCTGTGCTGTGAAGTCAGTTCCGACTCATAGCCGCCCTGAAGGGCGGTTAAAGCCAGTTATAAAAGCACCAGGCACCGCCTTCTCCTACCCACATCACCATCTCTCAGGGGCCTTCCCCTCCTGGTAGCTCATCTTATGTGCTGGAAGTTATTCCCTAGATTTCCCGGGTTTCTGCCCTCTGGGAGCTGCTACTCCCTACTCGGCTGGCATAGTGACTCTTTCATGGGTAATCGTCAGCTAGAGTGTCCTGTGAGATAATGCCGCAAACACCAAACGGAGAGGGAAGCACCGGCTGCTAGTGTTGCCAGAGACCATCCCAGGGTGCTGGGCAGAAGCACCTCGTTTACCAGGGAGGGCTCTCTAAAGCAGTTCCCTTGAAGCATGCCTGGACTCTTCTCCGGATGTGGCTTAAAGGAGGCTTCTAGAAGCCCCTGCTCAGTACTCACCCACTCTCAGAAGGTGAGGGTCACTCTTGCAACCACTAGCAACCTAGCCAACCCTTCCCATGAGCTCCCCTGGCACTGGTATCCCTTAGGGTTTAGCTTCTGAGCTAAGCAACGCACAGAGCTCAGATAGAGCAACTGCTTTGTCCCCTGCGCCTAGTGCACAGTTTGACAGTGGCTTGTGGTTGGCGCTTCTGGATGGAATAACGGCTGGGAAACCAAAGAACATCAGGTGTGAGAAGGGTTTGGTCAGAAGGTTTTCCTGATAAAAGAGAAAGGCCCAGTAAACTGGGGACAGGTTAATGAGGACTGAAGAAACCAACCAAACAAAAACAAAAAAATTTAGTTAGAAATTAGGTTCACTAGCTGAGGGTCTTCAGCATACTCCTGCTCTGTGACAATTTATACCTGTCTGCAGAATAAAAGAATGGACCACCCATGAGCACTGGCCCCTAGGGCCACACTCCAGGATTCAACTGGAGTGCGCCCAAGGGGTGGTGGTGGTGTGTGTTTTAGGGCTGAGATCTTCCCAAAGCCTCTGCTGGTTTCTCTTACCCTGGGGCCCCTTCTAACCAGAACTGAGGGGCAGAGAGAGGGTACCTGTGGAGCTCAGGTGAGTCAACTCTACTCAGCACCTGGGGGGTCAGAGGAAGATCATCTTTCCAAACAAGAGTCTAGGATGTCGGTAACACACTTGCCCTGAGGACAGTGGGCGTGTCCGCTCCAAAGCTCCTTGTCCTTTGGGGTCCCTCCGGGTGCAGGGACTTGGAAGTAGGTGACCCGATCGATCGATCTAGGGCCCTCCTTCGGCCTGACCCCGGTCCACCCATTCTGGGTGGTTATCTCTCGTGCCCATCCTCCCC